CAATGGCTACCACTGATGGTGCAATAATACAGTTTGTGTTGATCAAGTGATGTGATGTCTACAGTAAGAAAAGAATCATCAATAACTGCTTTGGAATGTACACTGCGTTCCGACAGTAATGCTAAGCAAACAGTTAAATTTTAAAAGCGCGGTTATAAGATCTAACAGATCTTCTTGTTACAGTCTGAACTACTTCAGGTAATACAATCCTGTACAGAAAAATCCGAGCAATTTTATAAATGAAGTGAGGTTCAAAACTGCATGCATGGACTTTGCATGTTTTGTCAACTTTGGGAATGTTTGACGTAAAATAAGTTTGATGAGTCTTATCTCGAGTGAGAGTCTGTTGAGGGGGATTCATAGTGGATGTACAAGTACACTGTAGAGTATGAAGATATGATTGATCATTGCAGTTATGTGCACAACTTAAGCAGTTGTGAAATTAAAACCTGAAAAAAAAAAAAAAATTCAGGCCTGAACAGGATTCGAACCCATGACCTCTGGGATACCGGTGCAGTGCTCTACAGTGTAGTGCTCACATCTTTCTCTGCAGTTCAAATATATGATCTTTCATATATTCATTTGTACTCTGTAGAGTCATAATTTAAGACAACCCTGTTTAAACAACCACAGTTAGCTTCAGATTCAATATTTTTGTATCTTTCTGCTTGTTTCAGTCCTGAGCTACATTACAGTTTAAGAAATAGGAAACATGTACCGTGTTTCTATTGAGTGTAAGAATAAATCTACTAGCGTTCTACCATGAATACCATTCTCTGATTGGCTACGCTTCTCACTATCTATTCTGTGACAGATAGTGAGTAGCGTAGCAGCATACCCATGTTAACAAAATGACGGCCACTTCTTGGCATTTTCGAAGTGTCTATGAAAAGAATTTAGATAAAGTTTTGAATGACTGGTAGATCTATACGAAAACAATAAGATTATTCACTCTCGATTTCCATGCGTGATAGTCAAGCTCATAAAAAGTTTGGGAGAACAAGAAATGTTCTGGGAACACGAGCCGACAGGTGAGTGTTAACACAGCGATGACACATGGTAACTGCAGTACAGCTTGTACATGTACATTTATCACCATAACTTTGAAGTGGTCTTATGTTTCTGTAAAGAAGGGCATATTATTTTTCAGAACCCGGTTGTTTGGATCTCCCAAAATTTAGTAACCTGTCAATTTGGAACGAATATTTTACATGACCTGGTCACTTTTTTTCTGACCCGGTCATCCCGATAAATAATGAATCATCCTTAAAAGATTTAGTAAGCATGTCATGATGACACTGATACATAAAAGGCAGTATTTTTGTAACGACATGTACTATATGGTTTGCCTACAGGTAACATCAGCAACACGGCAACATTTGTCAATGAAGATGGCATGATCACACTCGACAAGTGGACTCCGCCTTCACATGGTGTAATCTCCCTCTTCTTCAGAACTCCTTATCCTAAAGGTATAATCTTGTTCAATGGTAAAAAGTCCGGGGAGTTTTTTAAGCTGTACATCATCAATGAAACCAGTGTTGGCCTCGAGTACAACATCGGCAATGGCTACGAGAGGGTGGAGTTGAGTTTGACAGGCAACAAGCAAGTTAATGATCGTTCCTGGCACGAGGTGATCATTTATCGCAACATGAAGCAGTTTGGACTCAAGTTAGACACGGAAGAGGGCGTGAATTTAAACCCCTTGTTCCTGAAGAAAGATTTAGATCTGGAGGGTGAACTTTCTGTTGGAGGTGTCTCCAGTGATGTGACAGAGGGATTTGTGGGATGTATTCGTGGATTGGTAAGCAATGAATCCAACACTGATTCAGACTCTCTTGACTTTTACATGTGTACAGTTATTTGTTCTTTTACAATAACTGCAGAAATTCTCGCCCACTCATTGGCTAATTTTCATTGTCATTAAGCGGAGAGGCACATGAATTTATAGTTTATGCGATGCGTCGATGAGCGAGAACGGACAATTTGACAATTTGTTATTGTAAAAGACAAATTAAGCATCAGTTTTTTATGCGTCTGTCTTATTATTGACGATGAATTTTGTCATAACGTTGTCTAAGTAGTCTGTGGATCCACTCGGCTATCACCTCGTGGATCCACAGCCACCTTGACAATGTTATGATGAAACTCATGATCAACAACAGGACAGACGCATGAAAAACTGACGTCAGTTTGTTAAGTTTCTCTTAGTCACTCTTTATGGGAGTGAATTATTCAGGGTTTTCGTTTTCAAATTTAAGCCCTGGGGCTACCTTTTTCCACTTTTGTTTGGATTTTTGTGTGGGCATTAGTTCACACAATGTCAGCACTGGAGAAAGGCACTGTGAGAGTTAAATGTCTAGACCAAGAACACTACCAGACAGCATCTACAACAGGACCAGGCTATTGACCTTGGTCCAATGTTCTTGTACATGTACATGTAAAAAAACAAAAGGTTACAGAGAGAGTTGCCACAGTCTAATGGCAGTGTGATGAGTGATTCTATCTTTGGCTAGGATCATGGCATTATGTTCTGTGAAGGACACTTTGCTCTCAGAACACGTCTCTCCACCCAGATGTATAAATGGTTACTGGCATCATGAGGGGAGAGCTAGCTCTGGGGAGAGCCATTAAAGAAAGTGAGAGATAGGAAGTAGTGGAGGTTTTTGTTCAGAAGGGCAGAAAAAGGATTGAGTGTGTTGAGTGGCATCAAGATGGAAGGAAAAATATTCCTAGTCCCTTGATGCTATGGAAGCTGGGAAAGGCTCCAGTAAAATAGGGGACTGTCAATTTTCTCTTCGCCTTGTACATGTAAATACCCTCATGATTAAGTGCCCCTATTCAAGACAACAAAACACACACTGTACATGTACATGTAGAATAGATTGATTAGACGAATGAATTACTGTACTGTATGAAGTCTGCTTTCTGGTCTGAACATAATATTGAACATTATGATGTACGGAGCTCCTATAGTTCCAGTCCTTGAGTCAAAGTACTGTACACAGTGTATCTGTTGTTTTACATCAAAGTATTGTACCTCGTTGAAAAAGAAATGACTGCTCTCTCCCCAGTTAGCTTTGGAAATCTGAAAACAATGTTCTTGTTGTTTTGCGAAGCCTACATGTAACACAGTGTCTACTACATGTACCTTTTTTACAGACCATCAATGGTGAGGTTATTGATTTGAATAAGAAAGCAGGAAATGCAGATTACGTGCAAGGTGGCTGTGGTGCAGCATGCAAGAATAATCACTGTAAGCTGGGAGGCAAATGTCTTGACAACTACAATGTTTACAAATGCGACTGTAGTTTGACCCCATTTTATGGCTACTTCTGTCACAAAGGTATGAAGTTCTGTTGTTTTTCAGGGGTACAGTACTTATTTGTAGACTATGCCATAAATGTTTCTGCTGTGGTAGATTTGAATGGCAGATTTGACTGTGCCATACTACTGTACGTGTATTTATTGTGCCCAGACCTACTTGGCAGCTCTCTCGATACTCCAATATGGCAGATTGGTAAATGCTAGAATGGTGTAAACTTGTCCTTTTGAAGATAGAAAATCATTGTCGGATGGGTATAAATATTTTAATCATTTGATTGTTATTTTTTTATATACACACATTTTTCAAGCTTTTTTAGTGGAAAATTTACTTTCCAGCATAGCCTAAAATTTACTTCGGGTAAGTATTTTGTTTTACTTTCGATTTTGTACTTTCCAAGTAGTAAATACACTTTCCAGTGGACACTGGGTAAGTGTTAGTGTTGAGCCCTGCATTCAGGCCACAACTACAAGGTGTTTATGAAGTGGCCCTAGGGCGGGGCTTCACTTTCAAGGCAGGAAAAAACCCAGGTCCAATTGCCTGGGGCAAGTAAAGTTTGCTCTTGGGCAAGTGAAAATGGAAGATTTGTGGTCTGGTGGGCAAGTGAAATTAGCCTCAGTAGTCTTGTTAGTTGATACGGTGTGAACATTGCACATCTATTTTTGGGCAACTAATATTTTAGTTGGGGCAACTGAAAACTGAAATGTACTGGCCCACTGGGCAACTAGATTGCAATTTTTTTTCTCCCTGACTGTTAAACACAATCTGCTGTGATATTATAAAATTATTTAATGTTATTTAATTATTTGATATCCAGTCAAATCATTTACAGTGTATTATAATGACCCTGCATCTTGTCTTTCTTGTTTTAAGATTACGGCGCGTCCTTTTCTGCAAAAGACAGTCAGTTAACCTACACATTCCCTAAACCAGAGAACTTTCCTGGAGTGGACATTGTAGTTGGATTCAAGGTGAAAGACAAGGATAGCTGCGGAGGTGACATTGTTGAAATAACCAGCCAAAATACAGAGGAGAATTTCCTTCTTAGGTTGGATCCCGGCACCAAGAAACTGAAGTTTTCCTACAAGAGCTTTAACGGTGATGGTTCCTTTTTGATTGACCCACCAGACAGCGACTTCTGTGACGAAACCAGGCACACATTTGCACTGAGTCGCAGAAATGAGAAAGTCAATTACACGGTTGATGGGCAAAGCATGCCAGTTTCCAAAGAAGATCGGCTCTCAAAACCCTTCCCTAACATGCACGAGGTAATTATTGGACGGAAAGGTGACACTGGGTTTAAGGGTTGCATTACTGGTGTAAAAGTCACACCAGTTGCTTTTGAAAAGTCCTTTCCTACAGTGGAACCAATCAAGGCTTATCTCTATGATGATGTGACCAAGAATTTGGAAGGGTCAGCACTAAGTAAAGAGCAATGTGGCCCAGAGCCGGAGGTGCCTAAGGATTTACCGACACCACGACCAGTTGGCATTCCTGATGATTCAGACAACACGGGCACTCGGGCTGATCCAACATCTGGCCAGCGTGCTGACGCGGATAACAAGACCGCCATCATCATTGTGGTAGTGCTAATCCTGGTTCTACTGCTGGTGGTGTTGCTGGTTGCTATCTACTGGTACTGGGCACGACACAAGGGAGAATATCACACGCACGAAGATGATGAAGAACTCAAAAGCACAGATCCCTACATTGACATGACTGCACCCAGGAAACCGCTAGCAGAGGATACAGAAAAGAAAAAAGAATGGTACATTTAAGAATTTTTACGCTGCATGTTTGACTTGCATTTCTACTGAGGTTACATGTGTAACTCATACTAGTCAATATTTTAAGCTTTGGAAATCGCCACATACAGTGCATTGCTTGATTAGTCCTGAGCTGCAGTCAGCTGGTTGATTTTGAATTTGTCAAGGTGCATTCCACTGCTACTGTGGTAGTTAACGTACTCAGCACTTAAAGCTGTAGCTATTGTAGGTAAATAATATGATATGTGCAAATTATAAAGGGTTGTGAAGATTTCGGAAGAAGCAATTTCGCTATCCCCCTGTTCCCCTTCCCCCTGTCCCCTACTCAGACACCGCCCAAATGCTATACATGTAGATATCCCATGGAGGGTCCCCACTCCCGTGTAGAAGCTATAAGCATGGCCCTTAGGGGTTTTCCCTGGGGGGATCAGGGATCACATTCCCATGTAGCAACTACCAGCATCTTCCAGGCCGGCAGCCAGTCAGTATTTCAATGGAAGTTGTTTCATGTCGTTTTAGTTTGTTTTTCGATGCAAGGTCTGTTACATGTTCCTGAAGTCAGCTTTTATTAATATTTTGAACTGAATAACTACTCAGTTTATTGTTTTATCTTAAAAATGATGTACTTAATATGCCAAGGTGTAATGTTTAGTCCGTGGACTGTCCTAATTGTTCATAGCGAGCGTAGGAAAGCCAGCTTTGCAAAGAGCCTCCACTGCGCTAGCGTGCGCACACGTTCCCATGACGACCGTCAAGTGGTGTCGGACCCAGTGCCTTGGGATAAACTCGTGCGCGGTTTTGTCGCTCGCGGTTAATGTAGATCGATGACATCACTGCAGTGAATTGAATGGAATTAAGTTTTCTTAAATGACTCGCGCGTACCCATAGCACCGCTTCAAGAAATAGCCTCAAGAGTGACGGTGTGTTTTGTCGATTTTATATTCAACCGCCATTAATTGTTAAGTGCATTTAGTGTGTAGTGTTGCTGTGTATTTTAACAAGTTGTGCCTCATTTTTTGCTCAGTCTTTTGGGCGAGTGAAAATACTACTAAGGGGTAAAAATTTAGGCCGATGCAACACACAAAAAATGTCTAACTTTAGATTTATTATCCAACGGTTTTGTTTTCTGGAAAACTATTGAATTTTGTTTCGCGGTGTGCGGGAGATAGCAATATATCTTGATATATTTGCAGTCGTTTCGCGTGTTATTTGTATATCACTGGCAGAAGTTGGATAATAATTCTCTTTGCTTGCTTGCGTATAATTTGACCCATTATTTGCGGGCGTGTTGTAGACAAAAACTCTAAACGCCACAGTTAAGAGAGAGAGATTTTTTAAGGGAGAAAACTAGGTGAATAGCTGGGCATATTTGACCGTGTGAAGTTCTCGTCGAGTGTTTTGCAATTTTTGGAAATTTTGTCTCAAGATACATTTATTATTGTGGCAGAAAAAGTTTTTCTTCGTATTGATCAAATTCTCGCATGTTTGTTAGATGTCTATTTAAGAGAACTGGTCGTTTATCGAGAACACTTTGCGTCGGTGATCTGTTCTTTTATTCTCCAAACCTTGGAGGCTATATTGGCATCAAGGAAAATCTCTCTTGTAATATATAATGAGTAAACAATGCCGTCTTTGAGCTTCACACCTTCAAATTGTCGGTGATATTTTAATTGTAGTTCCAATAGATAACTATTGCTTGACAAGTGTATTTTTTAGAATCAACACTAGAATAATCACGTATGTGAGTTGTGGAAAGGCCAAAACAAGGAAGCTAATAGACTGAATCTTAAAATTTCTCAGTTTTCCATGGGTCCTCGGAGCTTGATGTCTAAGATGAAGATTTTTTCGCTTTCCAAGGGCAGTTACGGACATCAGCTCAGCTACTGGGAGTAAAATACTAGTTTTCTCGTTTAGTTCCAAGAGTGCCCACATTTACAGAGCAGGTTATAAAAAGATACAAAAGTCAAGTCGAAGCAAAGAAATCTGGGGCGAGTTTCACTCGCAGTTTGCTTGTGGGATCGTAATTGGAGACTATGTAGCTTGTCTTTTGTTTGTCCCAAGTAACGATCCCACAAGTCAATGCGAAGTGAGACACAGCCCATGTTTCTCCTCATTTCTGAAGTGTCGAAGAAAAAGAAACGAAATGAGGTGTAACACATGAATAGCTCTTTCCTTGCATTGTAGAGACTGCTGACCTAATGTACAGCGGTACCGCGACTGTAGAGTCTCTTGCAGCCGTGGTCCGAGTCATTTTGTGTTGGCCATGGCAGCTTTCCGTTTCCAGTACCGATGTTCATCCGAAACGAATTGTTTCGGCCTTGCACAACTCTTGAACCTATCGTAGGTTTTGTACCTCTTTTACTAGCAGCAAATCATTAATAAAACTTTTCAAAGGAATGTATTGTTTTTGTTCACCTCTTCGCCGGGTTGTTGAGCTTGGGCGAGGCCGGCACTGTACAAACGGACACAGTCCGTTATCGATCCACTAAGCAGGAGGGTACGTTACAGACAGTCTATAAACCAGTTAGAAACAAGTCCAAAGAAAGTACGCTCGCTGATTGGCTTAAAATCGTGTTTCCATTTGACAATAAGGTGATTCACTCTCAATTTCTATTTAAACAACAGATTGTTTCTACCGAGGAACTATCTTCTGAAAGTTGCCCCGCGGAAATTTGACGTTCTTAAAACAAATATTTGCCCGAGAAGCGAAGCTTGGAGGGCAAATATTCTAGTTTCAAGAACATCAAATTTCCAAGGGGCTTGATACAATTTAAATTGTTTATTTTCTGTAAGCCCTCTTGTTTACATTAACAAGTGCGCGCTGCTGGGCTACTCACTATCTATAACAGTATAGGTGGTGAGTAGCGTAGCCAATGGAAAATTATACTAAAACTCGCCAGTATAAATCCACTACAGGGTTCGTACAGGTCCTGGAAAACCTGGAAAGTCCTGGGAAAGTGCTACTGGTCCTGGAAAGTTCTGGAAATCTGTAAGGAGAATTGACATTGAGATCTTGGGAGTGAAAGGGTTAAAGTGAATTTTAGAGTTCTTGGAGAAACAATCCGAGTCCTGGAAAAGTCCTGCAAAAGTCCTGGAAATTTGTTTCTGAAAAAGGGTACGAACCCTGCTACTAGCGCTCTCTCACGAATACCATCTGATTGGCTACGCTAAAGAGGTACCAATTCTAAAACAACATATTATCTCCTTTCATAATTTGTTGCCGGTTCAACACCCGAATGGCACCGCAAAAAGCTCCCGCTGAGGACCCTTTGAGACTGAACACCCTAAGAGGTATCTCTTTTTACCCCCTAAAAAGCTCTAAAAGCTACGATGAGCACCTCTGTTCTCTTAATATGGTAGTCTCCGCCCTGCTTGGGGTTAATCACAAACACAGGAAGGGCTAATCAGTCGAAACGCCAACATCCTAAATTGACCTTCATCAACTTCAGGTTATAACCAGCCAAGCGTTTGACTTTCCCGGTGACACAGCTCTTTCGTTTGAGACTGCTCACTCCTTTTATCTAGTGGCATTACAGATCGCACTTCATGTTTGTAAAGCACAGGTCCCCTTCCTTTTAGCTGCGCGTAACAAACATTCTCGTCCCCGTAGCCCTTTTCGCTCCTCTCGTGCCAAGGCCCCGCCGGCTAAGAGGAGCGAAAAGGGCTATGGGGACGAGAATGAGAATGAAAGTCCCAGGTCGCGCGCAATCTTGTTCCCAGAGCCTTCGTTACCCTTGTCCAGCGAATACTCTGGGAACGAGATTGGGTCGCGCACTGTCGAGAGAACTTTTCGGAAGTAAGTTAGTACGTTCGGCTCCTTTCATGTTACCAGTGACCAGCTGGCACGTTCAATCAGTGTGTTTCAGGATATTGTTTTCGTGTTGATCCCGAAACGAAAAGGTAGTTTAGCCAAATTCTAGTTGTAACGGCCCGTCCAGGGAAAAAAAGAACGTTTAGAACATCAGCTGATGCTGGAAGCTTTTAGTTTTAAGTTTAATCCGTTCCTGTGATTCAATTAACGCTTTCCAGTAGCTATATTTTTCCAATCGGCCAGCCATTATCTCATTAATTCTGAACAGAAACAACCAGGGAATGCATTTCAACAGTTTGTCGTTCAGGCGTAATTCTCGGCAAAAAAGAAATATGCAATGCAACACACGGCTCAACACACCTGCTCAGCAAAACTAACACTAGAGCTTCAATCAGTTATAAATAATGTCGAGCTGTACCATACATACAGACATTTCGAACACAAGCCATAATTTTATTGTTAATTTTCTGTTTCTGTCAGGGATTATCTAGTAACTAAAATGTCCTGGTTCCAAATATATTCATATAACAATATTAAAATCCAAATATTTTCCCTCAGTTTAAATAAGTGACAGAACTGTACAAAATCTGACGTAAACTGAATTCACGTTGCGTTCAGGGTGAAGTCTATTAAAAAATGTACCGATTAGACTGAAGTGGAAACTCTGATTATCAATAAGATAGCATAACAAAACCTGCCATCGAATAATTTCACTCTTGCGTTTTATAATTATCGTTAAGTATTAACGTTTAGTTTGAGAATGGATGGAAAATCTCATTAAGAACCAGACCTCGTAAAAACAAGTCATCCCATTGAACGTTTCAGTTGGGGCCTTATCTGACTGTGGTGATAAATTCATATACTTTTCAACATTAGAATTAAATAATTGCCAAGAACTCAAAAATCCATTGATATGAAACAACTTATTTACCTCAGTGAACATCCGGAGGGAAGTAAACACATAATATGTTGTGGAATTATGTAATTGAAAAGTGCCGTATATAAACAGAAGTGAAAAGTGTTTATTTCTTGTCATAGTAACCCGAATAAAACTAAGATTATTCACCTTAAGTCAATAAATATTCCTCACGGCAATACGGTGAGTCCTTCCAACAGTAACAAACAAATTTATGTACACCAATTTTAAAAGAGAAATAATGAGATTCACACCGTCTCTGGGCGAAATATCGCACCCGCGGTTGTCAAAAATGTACCTGAGCTGACAGCTACAACGAAATATTGCCGGACTTCGTGTGAATTAATAAATGATAACTCATGGTCATTAAAAGTGTTGCAATGGTCCTTGGCTCCACATTGTCCTTGGTCTGTCCATAAACCCGCCATTGCAGGTCTGTATGGGAGCAGAATAGTTGTAGTTTCGCATTTGTTGAAGAGAGTTCGTTTCACTGAATGCGGACGACGAATTTGGATGCGAGTTGAAGTTCACCATAGCCGATAAGCTGCCAAAACCATTTGGATTTTGAGAACTGAGTTGCCTCACTCGTTCCTGAATTTCGAACTCCAGAGCTTTTTCTACAACCTTGTTCTCCTTTTTCCATTTCATTCTCCTGTTTTGAAACCAAATTTTGACCTGTTTCTCGGTCAGTCCAAGCGATTGAGCAATTTCGATTCTCCTCGGTCTGCACAGGTATTTGTTGTAGTGAAACTCCTTCTCGAGTTCCACAAGCTGTCTTGTGCTGTAAATTGTACGGTTAAGTTTATCGTCTTTTTCCTGTGGTACTCCTAAAAACAAAGATAGATTTGTTACGTACATGCGGTGGACGAGTGTACTGATAAGAGTTCTCACTTTGTCGCGTGTAATCTTGTTTAGCCCACCCGCCACAACAAGTGTTGCAATAGAAATTATTTCTGTTTTACAATGTATTGCCGCTCAAACAGTGGTAAAGATGACTCAAACAGGTTAGAATGTATTTGAATGTCAAGCGCTTACACGGTCACTTGATTCAAAAATGTAGTTCAATAATTTTCCTTAACTGTACTTCACTTCGACCAAAATTTCCAGCGAGAGAATTCCGTCGTCAGATCGTGAAATTAATTTCAATGTATGAAGTATAATAGCTAATGATCTATTGCAAGTTACACCACAAAGCTTCGCTAATATTTGACGGGTAACAAAGCCGATATATCTGAAGGAGAATCATTTATAACAGTCCAAAATTTTAAGAATTTAGATTTTCGGACATGTCCGGCAATTTCGAGGTAAAACACTGCGAGTTTTTTCAAAAAAATATAACAAACAAGAGCCGCAACTATGGAGCGTTAACCATGGAGTCAAACAAAAGGAGACTGAAAGAGTGTAACTGCAAAGCTTACGATAGTTTTTATTTATGAGCAAAGCTTCTCGATTCGAGCAAGGCCATGATCATGCGAGCGCGTAGCTACGTAGATAAATTCGACAGCACTGATTTCAAGTTTTGTTTTCAAGCACAACAATGCCAAGCTTAAAACGGCTCTGAACCTGCAGCTTTCAGCTAAATTAAAAGAAATTTCACGAGGCTAGAGACAAGATTTCAGAGGTTTCGATTAAGTTAGAGAAAAACAACTCATTGTAATGTAACTTTCTGTGCAGGTTTTACTACGCCTGCAGAATTCGAAAATGACTCAAATCACTGATTCAAAATACTTGGCGACTCTTGCTGTTATTAAAACACAAGATCCTTTGAACTGAAGCAAGTTAAAGTAACTGAGAAGAGACTGTTTTGTGGTTAATTAGGACATTTCTGAGACTTCCAACAAGATTTGGGACGCCACACAGCAAGGGCAAAAGGATTACCACACTTTTGAACATGGCGTCTCGATTGGTCTTTTTGCTTCTGGCGTCAACGACGTGTGAATCCTTTGAAATACCTCAAAATACTGTCTTTTCATCTTAGCATAACAAAACAATCCTATCAGTTCTGTCTTACAACTTCCATTCAAGCGAAATAAGTTGGATTGTTGACGCTAAGATTATAAAATACAGCGGTTCGCACCTTCGAATGGCGGAGCAAACTGCTTCACAAAGAAGAAGCGCCATGCTGGCGAGCCAATTCTCCAGCTATTATTCTTCGCTAATCCGCCATAATTATCAAACTTTACACGCAACACACATTACAACTGCACTCAGTTCGTGCTAAACCTGAATATTCGAGAGATTTGTTTCGCGGCGATTTTAGAAATAGCGGTGCATGCAGAAATCAGCCGCCGAGCGAAAGGGTTATTTCCGATCCCCACCCACTTTCACTGTTCCCCTTCGTTTTTAGGACAAAAACTCCTGCAATGACTTTGTTTCGTACCTTTTGTCCGGAACTCCTTCATCCACGGGTATATTCCGTGAGCGTTGTTTTCTGTAGAGGCATGTTGTTTCGGTGAATTAGCCGCTTCGACCTCCAAGCTATCGCAGGAATTTTCTTTGCACGAGTTCGGAGGCGACGGTACGTCAGGCTGTTCGGCCCTGTCGTTTTTGCCTTGGCAACACGGAGTATTTGCTTTTTGCATGACTTGTCCACTACTGTGCTTCTTAAATGGGGGCCTTAAGAAAGATGAATATGTTTTTGATAGAAGACAATACAAAGTTGACCAATTTTTTGACCTTTGGATGAAGATCAATGCTGACCGTTGACAAGACTCGATAGGCACAGTGGCATTGTTTGTCCCACGTACCAACAAGTAAAGAAAGAAAGATGTATTATTTTTGGGCACGTGATTCGCTGAGAGCCAATTAGACTGCTCACATCTGCCTCAAGATTTCACTTATGGTATGTAATGGGATACACAAAGCGCTTGGAGTGTTTTTCCGAGTAATTCATCATTTTAAGACAAGCCGTCGTTTTGTGAAGGAATTTACGGCTACCTATAGCGGAAACATAAATCTTCTTACCCGTCGGAACGATTTGTACCCACTAACTTGAGCAGTGCGGCTGTTTCCTTTGTCATATGAAAAGTTTTCCTTCATCTTTTGGTGAAGACCTGTTACTTTAATTTAGCAAATACAATAATGTACGGAACATGTACAAAGATCATTTGAGACTGAAAATTTGGTCACCGGCGACAAATCAAGGGACTGATGCCGTTTAGATTCTTAAATATCTGTTGGCGAGTTAATCTTTCTTAAGCTCTTGTTAAAAACTTAAGACTATAATAGCTCATGTAAACAGAAATAACAGGCTATAAAGAACACAAGAGGACGAGAAAATAGCTCAAGAGATTAGCATTGCTTAACCAAGTACGTGTTTCGCGTCTGTTTTCGCATAGTTTGGCTTGATACCTCATCGATCAAACCATTTTCCCTGTCAAAAAACAGAGCCATATCGTCGCACATTTTGTTAATGTTATAATTTGCCTTTCTTATGGAAAGGAGCATCTGGCGTTGTGAACATTATAAATTCTAAAATAGTACCAGCTAAATAAATAGAAATGCACTCTTACGAGAAACACCAAAACTATTTCTACAGCTGAAACAGAGGAAAACAGCGGATTTTGCTTGATGAGAAAGAATGTTTGCCTTCTGTTCTGTTCTGGGTTGCCTCTTGCATTTTATTTTTATTAAACGCATTGTTTTTCTTAAGTTACGGACACCTAAAACATTGTTAACACTTTCTGTTTCCACAAAAATGGCCAATTTTTTTTTCGGCGTGGTTTTCTTCAATTTCTAAATCCTCGAAGACAGCAACTGGCGTAATTGATTAACACTCATTATCCGGCTAAGCCGATATCGTTACCTATTTCCTGCTGGTTATGTTTGACACTGGTCTTTAACCCGGATTTGCGATGTACATCGTTTTTATTTCAAAGCTGAGAGTGGTAATCATGATTTCCTTGAACAAAGCATTTCCCACATAAACCGGCGGCTTGTTCAAACGCGGAATTTGCTTTTGAAATTTAAATTGTCCAGGAAGAATGGGCGCTAGACATTTGGACTCCACTCCTCCATTCCAAATGACAATAACATCGGCAAGTGATGCCCGGATGAACTGTCGCAATATGCTAGATTTCCCTGCCTGAAAAAACGACATCCCTTGCATAGTCTAAAATACTTATTATTAGGGTTGTGTGACCTAATAAACGCGGATGAGATTCGTTTGTAGATCGGAACGGTCGAAAACAGATCGTTCGACGGGAAGCAAAGATGGGCCCCGTTTGTCTGGTGTTAATTAGTTTAAACCGAATGGTGTGAGCTGAATATTTAATTATAGGCAGTAATTTTCTCGCCTAGTAAGAGACTTGTGAAAGTATTCAGACGAAGAGACGACTTCGGTTTTTCGGTTGTTTTCAATTTAGAACGGGGTCAGAGTTGTGAAATGTGGTTTATTTTACGATCTCATGATTTTACGTAGCATACATCAATCGCGCGCCATCGCGCGCAGTAGTAAAGTACCCCCCAAGTGCAAAACAGGAAGGTTCAAAGGTCTCATCGAAATTCCGTGCTGACGAAATCCTTGAAGGTAATTTACAATTTTAAAATTTGTGCAACACGGTGTAGCTGACTTTAGTCTTAATAAAAGGATTTCCTTGTGCCGGATCGAGATTCTATTGCTGTTTGTACATCAATGTACTGCTTGCCAGACAAATGAAAAGATTATGAAAATTACCTCGAGGTACAAGCAAATTCTTCCAAACAACAGAAAAACAGAAGACGGAAATCAGTAGGGAGAATTACTATTTCCAACTTAGGCGTCAAAAGTTCAAAGCGTTAACTTCCGGTTGAGATAAGCGACTGCTACTGGCCCAAGCAGAGATATTCAGTTAGCAGAAGATTTCTCTGTTTCGATCAATAACTTTTCTGCCATTTTGAGGTTCCTGAGTGGCATATGCGTGCGCAGCAAAGTGTTAAGTTCGCTTTCACACGATGTAGACGATTAACAGATAAATTGAATGTTCGGAGCAGTTTGAAGGCAATCTTTGCATTGAAGATGCTTGAATTCGATGGCAATGCAAATTATCTTTTATCTGCTTTTGTCAGTCGAGGAGAGAAAATGAAAAAAACTTGTACGAGAGAGGGAAAGAGACTTAACCTGGAATGTCAGTGGCAACTGACTTGAGACTGACGTGGCTGCCAAAGGCTGATTTTCACTTGCGTATAAGTATTATGAACACACGCAGACGCAATGAAGTATTTCTTAAGTAGCGGATCTTTTGTCAGGCAATTTTCCTGATAAAATACCACATTGGTGTAAACAAGAACATAGCGGGCACCTCGTGAGGTCGTAGGACGCGAAAAGAGATCGTGAGATTCTGTTCGTTTGCGTTTCAGCTGCATAAGTTGACAAATCCAGGAAAAGACGTGTAGCCCAAATCTATTTGTCCATTTTTCAGTCAATCAATTCCTTCGATTATATCGCAGCCACACAGCACAGCACACAGTATTTTTCCATATATTAACTGTACGCCTTTTAAAAACCCCTCAATGTTCCGGGAGCGGGTAAGATCAACTTAATTAATCGAATATGCTGCGATTAGCTACCCGAGCAGGCTTGCCCTCTTGTGATTTGCCGCTGTTTCCCGTGAGGCAATTTATTGCGGCAAGCTTGTAGGGTCAAGAAGGCTGGATAGTGACCTCTTCTTTTTTTTTTGTTTTCGTCTCGGCTCGTAAACACGCAAAAAATACAGAAGCCAGTTGCTCTTGAACATAACAGTGTTTATAATCCATCCGATATTTTCACTCGCGCGCAATTGGTCTAGACGCGTCACGTGACATTCCCCAATTTTCAAAACCGCGCGTGTTGCAAAAAGTATTTGAAGGATAATAAACACAATAGCGTCTATTTGCCATGAAAATGTGCTCGCATATTTGTCCTTGGACATTATCTGTTCCTCGAAGCTCACAGTTGCTCTCGGAAAACTGTTCGCTTCTCGGAACAGATAATGCCCGTGGACAAATATCCGAGCATATTTTCGCGCGAAATGGAGACTATTGTTTATGTATTTCTCTTCCATACAGCATTATCTTATATTAACTACTTAATAACCGAGAGTGAGGTCGTTACGGGAAAATCTCAAACTGAGGCCTTGCCGTATTGAC